AAGCCAGTGGCAGAAAACTGGTGATCCCAGTAACTCAAGTCCCTGGCATTTCATTTCAGTGCTCTGGCAGTCAAACACCTGTTTAGTTTTTGCAATCTAGCAAGTTACCCACCTCTCCCTTATTAAGACCCAGCTACTGCTGTGCCTCTATTTTCTCATGCCAGTTGGAAACAAGGCAAAAGCGCTCACTTTTCACTATGTTACTGCCTCTGCTGCTGTCTGGAGTGTGGCAGTGAAGTCTACGTGCTTAATGCTTGTGGGCTCCATCCTAGTGATGGAGTTAATGAAAAAGCCCTCTAAGGGAACTGGCTGCACTTTTTGGCAGCTGGTGGGAAGGCAGGAACCTTGGGATCTGCTGCAGATGGAGCCTGGACCAGCAGCAGCAGCTGTGGGTGGCAGATGTTGGGAGAGACTGCTGCTAAGACCCGGTTGCTGGTCTTTGTGCCCTGCAGCAGAGCGGTGAGGCAGTTCAACCAAAGAACCATGCGAAGGTGTATGTAGAGTACAGCGATGGCGTGTGAAAGGTTGGAGGCTGGGAGAAGGTGGGTTGTAGGACTAACTGAGGGCTTTGTAGAGAGTAGGGATGAACTCTTCAAAACGGAAAGGAATTTTGGCAGTTACTTTAATTGGGGCTTGTATAGCTGAAGGGATTAGTGACAGGATATAATAGCTTTAATCTTTGGGTGTTTTCTAGGTTTGAGATAGGTCATGGTTTGGAAGAGATTACCATGTTGGCTGTAATTTAATCTACATGCAGTTATGCTGTGGTCTGCACCCAGACCTCTGCAGGCAGCCGTATGTGTCACAGAACTTGCCTTGTGGAGGTCAGGGTCTTCCCTCTGTCCTCTAGACCTCTGCAAGTGAAGTAGAGCAGTTGAAAGTACCTGGAGGGAGAAAAACCCTTCTGTCCTCCTGCTCTCTGTGGGGTCTCTCCAATTAAGGAGGTATTTTAGAGAAGCGAACCCTATGTCTGTGATTCAGGATGGGTTTGTAGACTGCTACTGTGGTGAATATAGTCACTGCTCCTGGGGCATATTCTTCTGAGTGTATGATACCGGTTCACGAAAGAGGATTAACGCATAGACCTGAAACAGTTCCTGAACTCCTGCTACTCCTATCTTTTCTGAACTACTCTGCTTCTCTTGTATCTGGTTCTTGCTGAACAGAGAATCATAGAAATGTTGGTTGGGGGGGGGACCCTGGAAATGGTCTTGTCCAAGCTCCCATTCAGAGGACTATCACCACCACTGTAGATCAGATCAGCTGTTTTGTGTAGTTGAGCTGTGAAAACCTTGAAGAATGGAGACTACAAAACATGGCAAAGTGTATAGAAAAAGGCTCAAAGGCTCCTGGAAATTGTGTGCTCTTGGGGGTTTCATTTAGATTACAAAATCGAGTTGTGGGTTTCGAAGGATCACAGCAGCAGACATCGTAGATCTGTTACAATTTTTGCCTGTGCTGCCTCTTCTTCTTTGGGCAAACCCTATCTCTGTGTGGTAGCTCTGATTTTCTCCATCTGAACTGACTGATGGATTTGGTGATTACTTGTCACCAATTCATGACTAAACTCACTGCAGATTATATTGTATGAAGCTGCTTAAGTACTAAATAAACACATCAGGCTCTGCATGCTCAGAGCAGGACAAACCAACCATAACCATAATGTAGGTGTCATCAGCAAAGACTGCTAATCCTAGAAAAAACCTACTTTGACAGGCTGGGAGTGTATCTAAACTGACTTGATAGGAGCTGACTGTCACAGAGTGATTCTTGTCTTCTGACTTTGAGTGATGTAAGCTGAGTCTGCTTAAAGTCTCCATTAGGGAAGAGCAGAGCTCCTGCTAATTCTTACCAGCACCTGGCTCTGTATAGATTGTCACACACAGTTCTTGCCAAGAATTGTTCATGCTGCAGCAAAGACAGCGTTACAGAGTCCCTAATGTGAATTAAGTGCTAGCACAGCATGGATGAAGGAGTGAGTTACACTTACAGTGCTGAATATGCTGATGAACTTGCAGTGATCAAATTCTCCACTGTTATTTAAGGTCTGGGACCTGCTCTACACTGAGGAGTTGGAAACCTTTTTCTGTACTATGGACCTGCATTGCAAATCCTGCAAACAATGAGGTTATTCTGCAAGATTGTCACTGTGTAGTAATTGCAAACACCCAGCGAGGTCCCTTTGCTCCCACTGCCCCATTTTTAACCCTCTGTAGTCACGCTTCTAGACATGGTAAAGCTGTTTTTCTTATCCTGCCCACAGCTTGATTGTGAGGTGACCAAACAAAACGTGTTTCGTGATGGAGTTGGTTCATGACTGTATTTGCTTTCAGATGCATTAGGTGAACATAACCCCATGACTAACATGTTCTGCCATATTTCACGGCTATGACTATTACCACATAGATAGACAGAGCAAGCTAGGATTGGTACAGTGCTGACTTTTAGTATTGGTAAGCTTGTATGTTGTACTCAGTTGACCACTGTGTACAGAAAACCAGAAATATGAAGCTGTAGATCCAGGCTTTATGGTTAGACAGAATGAAAACGGGTTAATTTTGCTGAAATGGGCTCGTGCATTTTTCTTTTATTTCAATTTATCCTCTTTCTTTCTAACCAGAAAGTATTTCTCAGCCCCCTCTGCTCTACTGAATGTAGGTGAGGGCCAAACGGTACACTCAAACTGAAAGGTACTGGCATAACTTTGGACACAGAGATTTCAGCCATGCTCTAAGTACAGTGCAACGCTGTTGTGGTGCTCATGTACTAGATATAGTTCCATTTGTACATCTATATTTCTTTGAGAGAAAACAATGGTAAGCATATACAATGATATGCTTAGGTGCTTTATAAACTATGTGGAAAATATAGGACTCTGATGGACATATTCTGGTGAATCATAGGCCTTCCCCATCCCCACAAGAGAAAGGAAACTTGTCAAGTACTTATTTTATTCTAAACTTTGAAATATTTTCAGTATTGAAATAAAAAAAACAAAACAAAAAACAAAAAAACAAACCCTGAAAATCCATCCCATTAAACATATCTGAATTCTGATGTGAAATACTTGGAAAAGACTTCTGCTGATTTCTTCCATAGCTTCATTTTATCATATAGCCAATACTTAATTAAGGAATATGCAGTTATTTGGCAGCGAGAAACTTGTGGTGTTCACAGGCTGGTTTACATACTGGACTCCATGTGCAGTCACTGTAATATACCACAAGAATTCTTTTTTGAGGTCCAAACTCACTGTTGGCTTAAATGACCACAGACCTGTTGAAGTAGCTGCAAGTGATATTGTTTTTACCAGCAATTAAATTGGCCTTGCAACCACTGAAAAATCTTCAGGATCATGAGCTTTATTTCAAGGTCACAAATAGAGCCAAACTGCACATCCCAGTTGAACATCTTTCTTTGACCTGCTCCAATTCTGTCCCCCTGTTCTTCTTAAATAATCACTGTAATGGAAGCAGCGCAGCTCTGGAGTAATAAATTATAAATGCTGAGCTTCAGCCTGCTTATTGGGATGTGATTGTATACATAATTTAATGTAGTTTTCACAGATGACTATGGAACAAAGAACAGGCAGTGGCTCAAAATAACCCATTTCTCCATAAACTCTTGAGGGCAGTGGAAAGATAATGCCAAAAACCCTCTCTTTGAAGGCCGAGGTAATAATGCAGAGCAATAAAACCTCTGGCTGTGTGAAAAGAGCTGCTCTCTCTAGGTGGAATTGGGGGTAGCTGAAAGACCCAGATGGAGAAGTGGACACCTGCTGCAGCATCTAAAGAGAGCAGCCTGCGGGGCATCAGCAGGTAAGGTTCCCTAGGTAACACCCAGAAAGCCTGTTTGTTCGCGAGTCCTGAATCTCAGAATGATGATGTTCCTATCGATAAAACAGCGGGGTGGGGAGGACGAGGCTGGCTGCTGGAAGGCTCTTGCTGGAAACACGGAGGTTGCAAAGCTGCTGGGAAAACGTGTTTGATACTCAGATTTTTGTAGCCTGGGGTCTAATGTGAGAGCAGAGAAACTGGATTAATGGGAGCAAAAGGACTGATGCTCTGGGTGATGTGCTCTGAGACTGGAAAAGGGGAAGAAAAAGGGGAAACCTGTAAACGTGATAGAGACAGTCCTGCAAGTCAAACCTGGGCGGATTACGTGGTTCTGCAGGAAACGGTGGGGCTCTGCCTGCTTCTGCCAGCCGGGAACGGGATTTCAGCAGCAACAGGGCTGTGCCGCTCCGCGGGGTCTCCTGAACTGAAGCTGCCCACGCGCCTGCTCTCAGCTGATCTTTGCTTTTGTTAACCGATTCTCAATATGGCCATAGCAATGCTTCCGTTAAAATAAACCAGTGATTTAATTCTTGGTTTAACTTCTTAGTATTACAAGGACATTACAAGTCCCATTAAGCAAAGCAAAATAAACTTTAGCCTGAACATTAGTCTAGCCACAGTGAGTTACCATATAAAGGCATAGTTCTTAAATGTACCCAGCTCTTCCACTTGATTCATGTTTCAGCACAGTATCACACCACAGATTCAACAAACATAGATCATTTTAAATGGACAGCTATGTACAAAACTATGATACAATGTTATTACAAAACTCGAGAAATAAAGCTCTGAATTTTGAAAACACAATACTGCACATTCCCAGTTTTAAAGCAAAAGTAACATGAATTTACACATTCTGCAGCTTGAACACAAAGACTTTTGAGTGCAAGCAGCTGACAATGGCATTCAAACCCAGAGATTTACTATAGGATGAGCTGAAAATGCGTCCAATAGAGCACTCTGGAAAATGTATTTCTGGTGCTTTAATAACAGGAACCGGGGCCCTGGTTCTCCAAAAGTTGATGGACGCATCTGTGCATGTGAGAAGACTACTGATGAGCTTCAACTTAATTGCACGTAAGCATCATGTAGGAACCAGACGCTGTTTATATGGCCATATGCTTACTAAAATACATACTTTTTTTTTTTTAAACCTTTTTTTTCCCCTGTATCCGATTTCCCTTGCTTTAAATGATTGAGAGTAAAAATACATTTGTCTGATCTGGGTCTTGGACCTGGTCCAATATAAATCATCAGTGGGCAATGAGAAGAGGGAGTAACATGCTTCCACCTGTGACGGTACAGCCACTGCTTAATTTATACCCTTAATTTAGTTGAGGCACTGCTATTTTTAAAATTTCTCTGAGCGCTAAACACTGTGGTCCTTTCTTGGGCCACACTCAGCTGTCATTTCAAGTTTGGCCTAAGAGCAGGTTCAAAGACTTGGCTTTGAGGACAGCGGGCGAGAGGTCTGACCCTTTCATGCCACCAGGCGCAGAACCGTCCCCCGTTCCCATGGGCCCCCAGCGTAAGGCACGGGCCGAGGGGGCCGAAGTCTCAGGGGAGGCTCTTTGGGTCTTGGGGAGGGGAGCGAAAGGCTGCGCGAGGAGAAGCGGTGCGTTCTGGTGGGGCAGAGGTGACCACGGTGGCGTTTTGGCGATGCAGAGCCTGGCTTCTGAGAAGCTGGCAGCACTCCGGGGACATGTGAGTGATTCACTGGGTCTCTGTTATTTCTTCTGCCTTGCCGTGACACCTGCAGGAGGAGGGGGAAATGCAAATTATTTGCAGCTATAAAACAAAAGTGGTGTGTTTTTACATGTGTGTGTATCTAATGGTCGGGGTGCTACTAGGGAAACCGGTTTCAGATAACCTAAAAACAGGTAGAGCTAAATCTTTATGTACTTAATAAAACCCTCATGTTTCCAGAACTGATCCTGATGTTCAAGAGTTTGGGCAACTTTGCTTTTGAGCTGGGCACTAGTTCAGTCCAACAACGTGAGTCCTGTGTTTTCCAAGCAGAATATATAATATCTAGATATTAAATTGCTGAACTTACTAAATCTAGAGGATTTAGCAGGGCTGTCAGAAGGATGGGGTGGCACACTGTCATTTTTAAGAACCTGTCTCACTCCATAACCAAAGCAAATACCATTTCGAATGACAGACATGAAGGCAAAGGCCATATAGGAAGATGAGCATTAGCTTGATTACATTTTTGTGGTCCATTAGAAAACTGCCCGCAGACAGTACTGAGTCTGCAGAAGGGGAAGTGAAGCATCTGGTTCTCTAGAATTAAAGAAAAACAATGAAAAACAAAAAAAAAGAAGGAAAACCTGGACTCTCAAACCCTGCTGTCTCTTTGCAGGGGGAGGCTGACGTCCCGCTGTGCCACGTGCATGTCATAGCTGCTGGCAGGCAGCGCTGTGTCCCCCTCCTGCCCCTTCCCTCCCTCCTCACCAGGCTGTGGTCTTGGAGCACTGGCCTGTGCTCCCTGTTTGGTTTGTTCTTTTATCTTCTAGGGAATAAATCAAGTAGATTTGTGAGCAAGGAAATTGCCAAAGCCTGGTTGCTCATGGACTTGCGCTTTCAAGATTTCCGTTTCCCCTAACCTTTCTAAGTGACATCAAGATGGCAGGAGAGGAAAAAGGGAGTTGCACGAACAGACATGAACATTTGTCTGTAGTGATTCTCTAGGGTCTAAGACAAGGGAACGCAAACGGCATCTCCCCTGAGTCCACGCATTTGTACCATCCCTTCTCTGTCTGACCGTCACCTTTTGTTTAAATGGTCCTTCTTCAAGCTCTTTTCAGATTTGGCTGGAAATGAGTTCAGATGTTACCAGCACACATATGAACGCAGTGTGACCACCAGTGCCTCGATTCCATGGGAAAACAGGCTTAACCATTTCTTTCAGGAGCAAGGAGATAATGTGGGATACCGCTCTTGGGGTGTAAAAGCTGACATTCAGAGAACATTAATACAGAAATTGCTGCATACCAAGATATAGTCAAGGCGAGGCAAGAGTTCAGTAGCTGATTACAACACTCCTTTACTGCTCCTTAATATTATTTCATAGAGTCACGGGCTGTTCCTGCCCTTGCTCTGCTGCTGTTACAGAAGCTCTAAAAACTGATAAGGGGATGGAGTCTTGATCCCTGCAGCTGGATCTGCACAAGAAGGAAGAAGATTCCTGCGTCTTCACTGAGACCCAGCAACTTCAACATCCAGCAAATCCACCAGAGAGAGAAATATCCTGTGCCAGAAGAGAACTGGTGCTGTGACCTGAACAGACCATGTGCACTTGGGACAATAAATAAAAGAAAAAAATAAATAAAAGAAAAAAATAAATAAAAGAAAAAAAAAGGTGGAACATCGTAGGAAAAAATATTGATGGGGAGCGCTCTAGGCTTGCTGAGTCTATCATATCAAGAGGGACGGACTTGAGCTGCATTTGGGTGAGGAAGCACTGTGGCTGGACACTAAGAGAAGCAAACGGATTTTTGTTTCCTCTAACCTTTCCAAGTGACATAAAGATGGGAGCAGAGGAAAAAGGGAATTGGAGGTTCAAGGTGCAGCTCATCTCTGCCCTCCCGGCCCCGAAGCACAGCCGGGTGCTGCCGGCGCGATGCGGCTGTCAGGCACTGCATTTCAAGCATGTGCTGGAAATCCTGCCTCACTCGGTCATTTCATAAAGATACTGTTTGTCCATGCATTCCCCTATATTGCTTTCCTATGTCTTCTAAGGGAAATTCAAAGCTGTCTGTGTCTCTATTTTTTTCAAATATGACTTTTTTAAAGCCTGCATGCTGGAATCGCTGTGCTTAAAACATACGTAATCCGAGTTACACTTAACTCACGGTTTCAGCTGCCCTCCCTGTACAGCATGACCACTGGTCCTGACATATTTCTTACCTGTGCCTCGCTGCTACTATTTTCTGCTCTTGTTGCAAATCTTCCTTAGGATTTTTAAACAACAGAGCTACTTCCCTTTTCCACTTGATGTAATCCTGTGGTACGGCATGAAAAGGGCCAAGAGGAGAGCAGGAGTAGTCAGGACTGTAACTACCCAATTTACATCTCCTTTTCTCTTGCTAGCAATGATGCTTCAGGTGCAGGAACAAAAGCAACCCTGTGTGGAAATCCTGCAGAGATTTCTCTGTTCTGCCACCCCGGAGGCCAGGAAGGGGTTGGGGCTGCCAGGCTGCACGGGAGCAGGGCTCCCGGCAGGGCTTCCAGCCCCGGGCACTGGGGATGCTGGAGAATGAATACATTCCTTTCAGGAAATGAGACAGTGAGAGATTTGACATTATTGATTCAGTTCATAAGAGATACTCATCAGCATGGAAAGGACAACGCATAACTATGCAATTTCAGTACAGTGGGTGTTTCGATTGTTTCTTGCTTTTCTTTCTACTTGCTGTAAAAACAGGCAAAGTTTTGCAAATGGAAGTCTCATCCTGAAACTCCTTAATTTTTATTTTGAGGGGCAACTGGATGTTGCCAGCATCAATGAAGGATGCAGGGAACTTGGTACACAGTTTCACTAGAAAATAAGTTTACCTGTATTATTTTTCGAGGGGACAAAAGCCAAATTACACCCCCCCCCTCCAATCCCAGAAAGCTGCATGAATGCACGTAAGAAGTATGCACGGTCTGTTTGCTCCAATGTGCTACTTCGTGTGCAACTCTGGAACTGAATTTGGCTTTGAGTTGGAGCTGGTGTCTTGCCCCAACTAGTAATTCTCCCTGGGTCCAGTGTTTTATTCCCTTTTCCAGATACCTGTATTTAAACAGTGCTATAGGAAGTGGCTACCCACAAGCAAAGCAAACATTGTTCTTTGCAGGAGGTAGGTACTGAAATTGCATTTTTACAGTTTTTGAGAAAATAATGGGATCAAAGCAAGGACTTTGTTTATCACATGAAGCTGAATTCACTTGGTTAGAATAATGACTTTTAATTATCTGCAGGGAAAGGCAGTTTGGCTGCTGACACAGAGGACAGACATGTGGGTTGTGACCCTGTGTCGAGGGGAGATCAGCGCTGACTCCACTCAACACAAGATCAACACCCTGGAGAGTAAAAATCAGAATAACAAATTTATTTTACATGTATTTGTGATTAGACACAAAGACAAAAAGCTTAGCTGATATGCTGAATACTGATTAGGTCTGTGAAGTCCCAATGCTGTGGTTAGTTCACATAGAAACACCTTTGTGAGTTTACATACCTCATTGTACCACACAACCTTTTTTTGTTTTATTATCTCCAGTATCAGTCTCAACCTCTGCTTTTAAACAAAAGAGAGACACTAAATATAGCTGATCATGGCAAGGCAAATGTAACAACAGGGTTTTTTTTACGATGAAAACATTGTCTAGTAGCAGAGAGGTTCCTAAGATGCCATCCCTGGATGCCCAGGGAGCCCCGTGGCTTTTAAGGGGGGTCAGTTCCTTAAGCCAGAAATACTAATTTCAGATGTCAGGAAAGCATCGCCACGGCTGGGAGTGTGGGGTGCTCCCATTGCTGCAGCTCCTCCTGCTGCCTCCTGGGAAGCAAGTTTGGGAACCACTGCTCTGGGAAACCAGTTCTGGTTTGTGGCTTGTTTTTTAACAAGGTGAAAGTAGCGTGTTTAGAAATGTAAATAACTACAGCCCCAGGGTATGCCAGCATTATAAGGGTGAGTCCCTCTGTGGTAGATGCTCAGCCCATGTCGTCTTTCTCAGCAGTGGGTATTCAAACCCTCCTTTCCTTTCTCCTCCACCTTCCTTGGAAGGAAAAACATTAAACATCATTGATAGAAAGAGACTTCCACCACTTTCCTGCCCATTTGTTTGACCCCAGAATCTTGCAGAAACCAGGCTTTGGACAGTATATTGCATCTTTCTAAAGGCTGACAGACCTATGTGTCTTCCCTATGAGGCACCTCTAATTTGCGATTAAAGTACCCACCCAAGGGTGGCTTCAGCTCTGTAGAGCCTGAGGGACTTGGATGCGCTTCCCAGGTTTGGGACCAGCTGTGGACGTTCGCTGTGAGACAGAGACCTGGGTGGCTCCATGCCTCCGGGGGCTGAGCTCTCTCCAGGCACCAGTGGGGCAGTCCAGCGATTTGGCCGGCCAAATACGATCCTTCGCAGAAGCATAAGCAAGATGCTCTTTTTTAATTGTTGACTTTCTCCCCTCACCCTGCAGCGATGGCTCAAGGGCCTGATGTTCAGGAGCCACCCAAAGTACCCCTGGGGCAGGTTGTCAAGTCACTGCAGGCAAAGTGCTCTTGCAACAAGGCTTAGGAGAGGAAAAACCAAACAACCCCACTGCAGCACTGATGTTGCTGGTTTTATGTGTTTATAAGCAGTTGAGAGGGGGTGATCGCTGATTAAGTATCCACTATTAACTGCTCTTAATCACTGCTCTGGAGTCTAATGGAGCTCTTGTTTGCACATAACTGTGCCTTGTAGCTGTCTTTAGCACACTTGACAGATGTGCTTATTGCTATCTTTACTGCGTATGTGTAATGGGTTTTTTAATTATTGATTCATCATTACCCCTTTATAAACTACTTAAAAATGTCAAGAGAATGAACTATGCTTGTGGTTTTTTCTTTTAAATCTCTTTCAGGTTTAAAAACATAACAGCTCCATGAAACAGCATGGCTCTAGGGGCAGGGGGCATTGAACCTCGAAGTGGGGAGGAACAGATATATACAAATATATGAGGAAGCCTCCCCAGTTTAACTCAGTCCCCGAGGGCTATATATGAAATAGGCTACCTGAGTAGCTTTTGCTGTGCCTCTTCTTCTTCCTCCGTTTCCCAGATGGCCTCTGCTTTTCCCTGTCGGTGTGAGTTTGCCCTGGGGGGAGCGTTGCAGAACAAGAGGAGTCGGTGGCTGGCTCCTCCGAGAAGGACTTCTCTTGTGAGGTGTCCAACAGCGAATCTGTACCAGGGTCTTCGTTTTCCTTTGCCATCTCTTTCGACTCTGCCCGATGAGCCTCATTGCAGGGAGTGGACTGAGCACTGCCAGTGTCGACTCCAGTCTCGCTCGGCTGGGTTTCTGGCTCCTGCACCAGCCTGTAGCTCTCTGAGCCATCAGCTGGGCATTCATTGTCCTGGCCTTCTGAGATGGATCCATTGAGTTGGTCTCTCAGAGCAGTGCCCGAACTGCTGCTTGCAAACCTTATCCCTGTGCCTATGTTAGCAGCAGAGAAGGCAATGGAGCCGCTCTTCGTGCTTGGCTGGAGGCTTGCCCAGCTGTCTGCCGGCTCCATCCCGGCACCTGGCATGGGCTGACTGTCCCCGTCTGCTTCCACCAAGCTTACTGAGGGGCTTTCTGTCCAGGACTCTGGTGGCAAATTTCCTCCAGCATTGTTTTTAGATAATGCCTGGTTTGAAGCTGAGGCATTTGTAACATCTCCACTCATCTCCATCAGGGCAGTGGTTGAAGGGGGAGTGCTTTCTGAGGGATGACCATTGTTGTTTTGCTTGGTCTTATCATCGATCTGCTTTCCTGCTGCTTGTGGATCCTTAATGCTCTTTCCTTTAAACACAGAACATGCAATCAGCCACAGCTGCAGAGTTGCACCTGGGATCAGCCAAGGTGTTTCTGCCACTGGGAGAGGTTACAAGCTAGCAGCTGCCTGTGGAGGGTGCACTGACACTAAAGCAGCTATGCAGAGGCAGCACCATCTTATCCTCCCTGCACCTCCCCTCCTTATACCAGTGGTGTAAGTGGATGACCCTGTGGTCACCCCAGTTGGACTCCAAGGCTCCAGCTCAGCAAAGCCCCTGCTCTGTTTTCAGCAGGTATCTATGTGTCTTTGCTGCCAACCAGCTGATTTCCATGGATGCCCCCAGACTTGCAAGGGTGCCTGAAAGCCTATGGCAGGAAGAGGGAACCTGCCTGCGAGGTCCTGAACCAGGTGGGACCACTGGCTTAGGTGCATGAGGACTTCAAAACTGCCCATCAGCCAGCCTAATCCTGCCCTTGCAAAGCAGGTTTAGGGGAGCCACAGTGCACAAGTCAGGCTCTGTGGTAGGCCAATGGCCTTCAACTTATCTAATGTGCACTGACACCAAGGTCAAGAGACCAAAGAAAAGCTAAACCCATGGGCTGTCTCCTGAAAAGCACATAAAGTACTTGGGTCCTTCTGCAAACAGGGTTTTCTAATCTTTTTTTAAGGGCTGCTTTAGACTCCCAAATGTAGACTAAGACAGGGCGCAGCAGTCTCCAAGGCAGTGACAAGCTGTGCTACTGAGACTCAATGGCACAGAGGGGACTCATGTGGGGATGACACCAGGGCTCCATCAGCATGGTACTGTGGCTGACCCATGGGCTATGCCTCTCAGAGGGTTTATCAGCATGGGTGCAAGGCCATGCTGCTCCAAATTGCTGCTAACTCCAGGGCAGACCTGGCTGGCAACAGCTCAGGGCTCTCTGTTCCTCTTCTCCACAGCACTGGCTGCAGAGTGTCCTTAAATAAAATGCCCCAAATGCAAATGTGAAGGCTTCTTGCTTGGGGCAGATGGGAATGAATAGCTGCAGGTACAGTTGGGTCTGTGTCCTTACCAGACTGGCTCTCCTCCGGGCTCTCTGCAGGTGAGCTTTTAGGAAGTGCATCCGACTCGTGTCTGTTCTTTGTCTTTCTCAGCGTGAACCCTTTCCTTATGTCGGCCAGCAGCGCATCGATGACGCACACCTCCTCCTGCTTCACCACCCCCTTCTTAACTGCAATATAGAGAGAGAATGGTGCCCCATGAGATGGGGCAGAAGGACACTTTGCAGTGACGCTATTGCTTGGGGCAGGTACTGCTGTCCCGGTAAAAGCAACCACTGGGCAAAAGCAAGGCACCGGTGCCAGGCTTGGGAGCAGCCCATGCTCCATGCCCCTGCAGCAGCGTGTCCTGGCTGAAGCCAAAGGGTCTACCCGAAAGCCTGGGTGCTACAGGCTGGCACCAGTGGCACTGGCTCTGCCCGTCCTTGCGCCTGGTTGTACCAAGACCTTGAAACACCTCCTGTTTGATATCTGTGTTGGTGGGGGCCTTTTTACTGTGGGGTGGGGTGGGGGGAAGGAAAATGATCTTGAATTTTCTTTCCTCTCAGCTTCTTCCGATTGTACTTTTCAGTTGTGCCTTTTGTTTTCATCCAGAGAAAGGCAGATTTACATTATCTGCAAGATTTTTGGGATGTCAGTTGTCTCTGGTAAAGACAGACCATTCAAGTGTATATGGGGATTTTGCGGGGCGGGGGGGAGAAGTCAAATGTTTCTTGTTAGATTTGGGATTCAAAAGTTATGTTTAGAAACTGAAAAAGTTAACGGAAATGTTTCAATTTGATTTTTTTTTCTCTGCTGTTCAGTCAGCAAACCTAAAATTATCTTCTCTGCCCAGCTGCAACTGTGAAAAGTCAATTCTTAGCTATGGCTGTAAGACACCTAAAAGCCTTTAGTCAGCCAGCACCTGGAAACCCACAAAATAAATTACCACTACTGGTCCATTAAAACAGGACCAGCAAAGAGCTCCTGTCGGCTCTCCCAGCCAACTTGGGATCGCAAGTCCATCTCCCTTTTTTGAAGCCCTTTCAGATACTCACTGACTTTTCCATTTTCTCCCTTCTGTCTTTTCCCCTCTTCCTCTTCCAGCTGTTTCTTCCTCTTCTCTGCTTTGGCAGCTTGTTCCTTTCTGTCCTTGTTTTCCTGCAGTGAGGTAACAGGGACATAAGAAGGTTGGCTAAATGTCTGCTAGAAAAGTCAATGACGAGAAAGATGATCTGCAGATGGTTGCAAAGGAAGAAGAGAAATTCTGGCCTTATCCTGTGCAATAAAGAAAATGGGCATGGGGAGTAAGGGCTGTCTTGCCAAGAGGGTGAGAGGGACACCACTGCCTTGGCCAGGACTCTGCCACATCCCAGTAGGAGGTGGCAGCACTGATCTGCCTAACACAGCTACCTACCAGTGTGCAGGTCTTCTGCCTGACCATTAGCTGAGGCAAAAGTGGAAGGTACTGAAGCCACAATTTCCTCCAAATTGGTGGCCTTTTTACTATACATCCTCTTTCTGAGCCTGTTTGCTCAGGTTGGAGTGAAAGGTTAAGTTTCATAAGATCGTTCCTCTAAAACTTACACGCTTGACTCCAAAGCATCTTTGTGACTCTGCAGTTAAAGCTCCACTGAAATCACAAGTCACCAGGGTCTGGGCCAGGCCAGGAGCACCAGCACTGCATGAGGATGCAGTGGAGCAGGGATCAGACACCCCTTCCCCGGATGACCTCATGCCAAGCGCTGAAAGGAGGGGGCTGTAACCAGCGGATTCGGGTGCCTGTCCCACCTCTGTCTGTCAGAGCAGAGGCATGCACCAGTACTAGGAATGCTCAGCATCATGTGCGCAGATGCCAACCTTCAGGGCTCGGATGAAGAGATCTCTGAAGGTCTTCATGGTGCTAAATATGTCCTCTAAGGACAATTTGCTTGGGTCTTCACAGAGATAATTTCCAAGTTCTTCTCTCTTCCTTTCAATGGTTTCAAATTCTTCTTCCAGCTTTCTGGAGGCATCAATGCTATCCTGAAATGCATTTAATATATACAGTAAAACACCATCCAGAGGACAATGAGTGAAGTGCACTTAAAGAAAAAAGGATGTCAACATAAGAGCTTCAAGCAGGGCTCTGGAGCCCTGGTGTTTAACTTCAGCAGAGCTTATGGGGTGGAAGAAACTGAGATTTGCAGATGATCTTTGCTCCTGGTGACTGTGCTATTGCCAGTTTACAGTGGTGGCTTGAGCAAGACACGGAAAGCTCAATGCAAAGCTTAATCCCAAAAGAAGGGGTTTACTCTGGTGATTCACACAGAGAGTGAACATCTTCACTCAAAGTGAGGAGTCACAGAACAGAGTGGGGAGAGCAGTTGGGGCAGGGGCCTTCGGTATCTAGGTTTTGGGTGGAGGTGGCAAATAAACACCGATGGGTTGTGTGGCATCACAGCATATTTCCAAATCTGAGAGCATATCTTGCGGCAATATTTTCCGCCCTCTCATGAGCCTCCTCAGCTACCCTGCACTGCCTCTGTGTGTGTAATGGGGGAGATATAAGGGAGTTCCATTACTGACCTGGATAGGTTTCTCATACTGTTGTTTCACATCGTTGTTTGATGATAAGACCTTTCGCTGAAGCTCCAGCAACTTCTTTAAATTGGTACTGGACTCCGTGTGTATAATATCAAGATTAATTCTGAAATCACATGGAACCCCCGTATTAGTTGACACTCCAGCATCCTGCACTCACCAAAGAGTGGACAAGTCTGAGCTGGTGGTTTGGTTGTCCCTCTGCTTGCCACCACTTCACTGAACTGAAACCTGAGCTCTGAACTCTCTATACAGTCCGAGCTCATGGGAAACAGCCTCCCTCCACAGCACTTATGAAAAGGCTGCCAGGTCTACCTGCAACTTTGTGTATTGCGTAGATGAATGCCCCCAGAAAAGTCCACCCATTCAAAGGGCTGTTCTCCACCCTCAGAGCTCGGCATCAGTTCACTTTCCCTGGTTGAAGGCACTTCAGAAATGCTTCTGGGTAGTTGGCCTTCAGAAGCTCCTGCTACCACAAAGGCAGTGCAGATTTTGGAAGGGCCTGGGAGGCAGCATTAACTGAACACTCTGCAAATTTCAGCCCTAAGTGTTGCCAGCTGTAGTAGAACGATGGGGTTTCAACATTCATCAACCAAATCCTTCGGTTAAAACTAAATAAGATGCCATCTTGTTAATGTGCTATACCAGCTGCGTGTCCCCTAATTTCTGGTACATTGTTGATGTGTATGGAATTTATTTTTGTTTTTAATTTGAAGGAAGTGACACACAATTTTACCCTGCTGCTTTTGAAACATATTCAAGATCCTTTGGCAGTTCCAGTAGGTCCGTGTGGCTGTTTTCTACTTCCTAAAGCGCAAGAGAGAAAGAAGTGTTATTTGCTGTGTAGTAGGAGCTGAGAGAGGAAGGTGGGGGGAAGAGACATGGGCAGAAGTGCTCGGGAAGGACGACTGCGGTATGTCCTGCTGCTGCTCCCCTTCTGCAGTTTGCTTTGCTTCGCACAGCCAAGCCGCATTCAAAACAGGATGGCACGTTCAGAGAGGGAAGGCATTGCTCCCAGGCTATAAAAACATACAAGAGGGCTGAATGTTGAGAAATACTCATAGTTCAAAGCAAAGCTGACCTGCTGCTGAGCTCTTCTTCTACCCTCTTCTGAGACACCTACTCTTGGCCATGGGAGGAAGCAGGACTGTGGTTTGATGCAGTCTGACACTTCCTACAGACCCAGGAGGGTATCAAAAGGGCTTGAATATTATTTGCATAATTTACTTTCATGGTTGTGCTTGCTGAAGCTACTGCCAGCTAAAGCAGGGCTTGAACATGCATAACTGGAATGGAAGGACCTTGATGAATGAAGGTGGCAGAGCAGAGCACGAAGAAAAAAGGAAAAAACAGCATTGCAGGGAATAAGAAAGCCATGGGGGCTTGGAGAGGAGCATGAAAAGCTCGGACAAAGTCTGGTGAAAAAGGGAGAGGCCATAGAAAGGCAGAAGGGCTGAATGGGTACAGACCAGCCAGGATAGCTTTGGTAGCCATGTGCTCTGTGGTTTGCAGCTGATGATGTGGAGATTGCACAAATACGAAAAAGGAAGTTCCAGACATTGTGGGGAAAGATGCTGGAGGAAAGCAGAACAAATCTTAAAACAAGGAGCTTCCTGAGTAGTGCCCACAAGCAGCCTCCACCAGCCAAAGTGATACGAACGCTCCCAACTTGCAACACTGCAGCTAGCCAGGGAGGATACGAATATGAGCGTGTGGCACTAACTGAAAGTAGAGTAGGAGAAATGGTTCATCTGTGACAAAATCCCCCCCCTTCCCTATCACCCAGGACTTGGCAGTGGTACCTCCAGAATATGGTGGAGCAGCGTAATGCGGGTTTGGTTTGCTTTGGTTTCTGTTAGTTTGAGTAAAGTGCTGATTTTAAACCCATCGGCATCGCCTGTGTGACTTCCCTACAAGATAGAAAGAAAGCAGATGTAACTCCTGTGTCCACCCAAATTACAACCCTAAAGGAGATCATCCACATACTGTAATGGGGGGAGGACAAGACAAAAGAAGTCCTTACGTAGTTCAGAAAGTTTCCAACTTTGAGAATCAGTTGACAAAAGAGCGGCAGGCGATGACTCTTCAGAAGATCTGAAAAACATAAAGGACTTTTAAACAAAAGCCTCTGTTACACCAGAACATTTCCTAAACTGCACTGAAATTGGGATTCTGAATTCCACCAAACCAAATCTGATATTTCAGCTTTGCAGCCCAATGGCCCAACCTGCAGAGAAACTGATTCTACATAGATTCAATCCCACGAGCTGTAAAAGTTTTTGTTGACTTACATTTCTTTCTTTCTTTACATCTGGTCTCTCATTCCTGATAGAAAATAACCTGAGTTGGACCCTCCTCACTAACAGCCATCAACTTGTTGCCTTCCTTGGAAGTACCCCGATTTACCCTGGTGTGGACGAGGGTAACTGGGCTGCAATTGTAATCTTGCAGACTCAGTTCAGCTGCACAGTGAAGCCAGTTCTGACAGCCCTGCGATTATCTGCCAGCCGCTAAAACCAGACACGCTCGCCCTGTTCTTGGTCTCGCATGGTGGAGGTGGTTATCAGGGCATGAAGGGTACAGTCCCTGTCCTTGCTCATATGGCAGGGTGCTGCAGTGGTGTGCTTTCTGAAGTTCTCAGCTTTGAGGCAGGAACAGCTCCAAAAGGACAACTGGGCTGCTGGGAAAACACTTCCTGGGGGAAGCTTCAATTTATCCCAGCAGGCAGCTGTAATGCCAGCTGAAGAAACCCCTGGCAGGAGTTGGGGGAACTGGTTCTGTAGGACAGGCAGCACTTGACAGTGCCAAGAGCATCCTGCTCTCAGCAGAGTGGGACCTGAGGTTCCTGCCACAGGAAGCTGAAACCTATTGCATAATCTCTCAAAATAAACTTTTTCTTCTGGTTCCATTTGTAGGCAGGGAAAAACGAAAGCATCACTACTTTCTGGGGGAAGTTTGGGGGGGTGTGCTTTTCTGGCAGCAGAGAAAATTGCGGTGTGAAGGTCTTAACATGGTAAATAATGCTGGATGAATTAGCTGTAACAGGGCCAGCTCCGCTGTTTAAATTCAGCTCCTTTGAAAGGGCTGACAAGCTTCCAATGCTTCCCTGTTGAATGTGTTTCAGAGAATACAGCTGCTGCAGAAAAAGAGGCCTGAGGGTGAGGGAAAATGATCTCTGGTCCTATTAAGGGCTTTGACCATCAGTGGAGATACCTAAAGCTGCACCCTGTATTCTGTAGCAAACCAGTGAATGGACCACAGGGGACTTTTTGGGGGGCTGTGTAGACTCACTGCAGAGCTCCAGGGGAGTATTTGCGGGGTTTACAGCTTGCTGTCATAATTAAGACCCAGAAATAAGGTCAGGTCATTTACCTTCGCAGGCTCTCCGGATGGCTTCAGCTTTCGGCTGAATCATGTCCAGCACAACGGTGGTCTCTTCACAGATCAGCATACATTCAATGCGCAGCTGGTAGCTAAGGACGGAGATTGATTAAAAGCTTAAAGGCACTGTGATCTTGGCCAGCACAGTGGCCCTCTTCCCACATCACCAGTAAGTCTGGCAACCCCACAACATGGCTGTCAACCTCATCCACATCATACCAGCGGCTGCCGCTTGCCTTGGGGATCAGTGGGGATGTAGTTTCTGCTGACGCACTGTGATCAGCAAAGAGAAGACTGACCACCATGTGCGATATGGGGTCCTCCTTCTTAGCATTGCATTTGGCACTGCCTTTGTTATGTGTCTTCCTTGGGCAGGTCTGACCCTGGGCCTGGGCCAGCTTCTGCTACTTCAGAGGGAGAGGAGGTGCTGCAGCAGCAACAGCCCTTTATCTAAGGGTAAGGGGGAATGGATGGCTCTAAGGTGGAAGGGGGAATCCACCAGCTATATCCATTAGTGTCTGTCTTTGAGGATCCTGTAAAGAAACTTCAACTTCCCAGAGGTAAACCCAGAAAAAGACTGGGCTGAAGTTCATGACCAACACCCTTACCTGGGAATCTGAAGGAGGAGAAGATAAAACTGATCTGCTTTTGCAAGCTTTGATTTCTCCTCTTTGAAGGCTTTCAGGTTTTCTATCTAATGAGAAATAAAGAATCAAGTATGCAGGACTGCACTGCGTGTTCAGCTCTGTGAAGTAAGGGTACCATTTTTCCTCCTGACCTCATGCTTTTCAGGCAGCAGCTTCAGCAACTGCTTCAGAACCTCAACATCGAACTTGGTCCGGTCCCCGTTCTGGACCATGGCAGCCACCTCTTCGTTGGAGCTGCAGGGAGGAGGAGCAGAGTCAGACGTCACCCGAAGGCCCCTCTTCCACAATCACACGCTACCGAGACATGTATCTGTGCAACTGCTCGGTGCTTTCCCTAGTGAGAGCCACAATAATCCAGAAGGAAAGATATGCCTCTGTGATTAACTCAGAATCGGGACCTGGATCCCTGCTATGCCCCAAATTTTGCTTCTGGCCCTGGTCTAATGACTCAAGGCCAGAGATCAGTCCTGCAACTCAGATGACTCTCTCTGGGCTTTTGATTACCTTAAAAAAAAAATTTCATTCTTAACTTCTCCATTGGCCCTGTTTTGAAGAGGGGTTTGACCTCCAGAGGTGTCTCACAGCCTAAGTCACCCTAAGAGTCTATGCCACAACTTTATCTGTCACATGGAGATGTAATGCCTTTTCCAACTTACAGGGATGTTGTAGGTAAAAATGCAATTAAACCCCTAAACCCAGTATTTTAAAGACAGTATAGGAGAAACTGGGAAATGTTCAGATGTTTCAGTAACAGAGACCACCAAAGCACATTGGCTAGAATAGATTTCATGAGGACCGCCCAGATACTATGCAAAACCTGCTCAAAGTTTTGTCAACTGTCACGAAAATTGGCCGTATCTTACCATTTAAATTGCTTCAAAAATATGTTCAAATTGAGACTTTTCTTGGAGTCCAAAAATGTGATCTTCATGAAAGAAAAAGAAGATATCTCATATTAGATGAGCTGTCTGCAGTGATCTTTATGCGAAAGAACGAGAGGGATCTCCTCACCTCCTTCGGTTCTGCCTTCACTGGTGCGGCCGTTTTCTCCTTGGGGGTTGGTTGTGGAAAGCAAAACAGCTGCTCTATGCTTGTGTAATTGGGCTCTATAGTTTCCTCGCTGCTGCTGCTCACTGAAGCCCACATTGAGTGACTTTCTGAAAAAAGACAAGGCATTCAGACTGGCTACAGGGACAGCTGAAAGCTCCTGGCTTTCGGGGCAATGGTGTGAGTTGCTAGAAGGGGCACTTCTCAGAAGATGAATGAAATAAGAAGAGACATATTAGTCCTGAACAAATGCTAATTATTTAGGAGGGACAAGTCCCACAAACAGGATCCGAAGGGCCTGAAGGGTAATTAAACCTGGTGCTTTACCCCAGGATGCGCTGGTAAGGGGATGCAGCACTGGGCTCACAGAGGCCCTACGGCCCCATCCCTCCCTATACAACTGCATTCTCCTCCACGGTAGGCAAACTGGATCAGCATGAGAAGGACCTTGACCATTTATTTCCTAGTCCCATGGCTGATGTTCTTTTTGCTTCCTTGCATGCTAGCTGAGGGATTGGCCACAACCTGGACATTTTCTGACTGTGGCCTTCCTCCGTTTTTAATTTTATAATCGAGCCTCCTTGTATAATGCTGGCTATAGGACTGCTTGAATTAATTCCCATTGCACCTCCTTAAAAACTTTTTTTTAAAAAGAACATCACCCAAACGTGCCTGTAGAAGTCTCTACAGTAATAATCCCAACAATTAACTGCTCCTGTGATTGAAAACACGCCTTATTTAGACTTATGCCAGCTTCCATGCAGTGGATGTCTTGCTTGTCTAGGACAAAGCTGACATTGCCTGTCCTGGCTTCTTCTCACATTTCATGCTTCTCTTTGGATCCACTGGGACAGGGAAATGTAACCCAAAAATCAAGAGACAAGTCAATGATTCTCACGGCTCTCCAATTCTTTCAATGTCGTTCCTGAACTGTGATGTGATCCGTGCCTGGACTATTACTCATGAATTTAGTACACCCAGACACAAGTAAAGATGAACTGGAGAATGAAAGTCTGGGGAATCCAGATCAGAGCCTGTTGAGAACTCAAGCCTAAAGCATATCATGGTGGATTAGGGAAATATTCCCATCCCTCCCCCTTCTTTTAATTTCAAAGAATTTTAGTTATAAACAAGCTATTCCAAACCACTGATTTAGTTGGAATGGTTATTATATTATGTTAAAAATTTCAGGCCACTTCTATTTATTTAAGCTCTGCAGGTCAGATGTAATGGAAATCAGGGAAGTTCTGTAACTAAATGGAGTCAACCACATTTGACAAACTCAAAGATAGTGTTTTCTCCCCTGGATGACCCCTAAAGCAGCAGTGACTTTATGACAGAAGCACCCACCTCTCACCACATTGGAGGGCAGCTTCTGCCAGTTCAGCTTCTTCATTCTCAACGTTGGCGTCTTCACCGTCTTCCAGGGAGGCCTGCCCGAGCCAAGAGGGCAGCTGAATTGGGAGGCAACCACAGCTTCTATATGATCGCCTCCCATGCCAGGCAGGAGGGGTGGAGGGGGAGGGATGCCACCCATGCCGGGCAATGGGGGTGGAGGGGGAGGGATGCCAC